CCTGAGCTGAAGGCAGATGCTTAACTGACTGAGCCACCCAGGTGCCCCTTCTTTAAATTAAAAAAAGAAGAAAAAAAAAAAGATTTATTTGAGAGAGAGGGCGAGCAAGGGGGCAGGGGGGATAGGAGAGGGAAAGAGAATCCCAAGCAGACTCCCTGCTGAGCATGGAGCCCAATGACCCCACAACCCTGAGATCATGACCTGAGCCAAAATCAAGAGTCAGATGCTCAACCGACTGAGCCACCCAGGTGCCCCATGGGGGAGGCTGTTTCTAAAAGAGCACAGGTTTTGCTGCCTGGTGTTTCCATTTACTTGGAGCATGTCATACTTCTTTAATCTTGCCTAATCCAGCTCATGGAGTTGTTTTGAATACCAAATAAAATAATTTATGTGATGGTACTTTCTAAACTGAAAATGCATTTTATAATTTATGTTATATTGGCGATTATTATCTTCTGGGTAGCAAATAGCTTCTGGCAAATGGGACCACACAAAATACTCAGCATTGTGTAATTCATCAAACTCAAAGGAAGCACCCAAAAGCTCCAGTGCCAAAAAGATGTGAGGTGGGAGCAATGGCAGTCCAGGGGGCTGGGAAGAAATATATTGAAAATGGAACAGAAGTTGTCGAAATAATACATAAGATTCTGAAAGGCTCCACAGAAACCCACCAACAAAGAAAAACAAAGATGAGAGGAAAAACAGCTTTCCACATAAAGGACTGAAAAACTTCTTCTCTGTTTTGGAGATTCCTGGCTAACTGAGCCAAATCTTTATTCTCCTAAAGTGGGGCCTAAGGTTTGTTTCCAAGTGTCACTCTGATGGTACTTTCAGCTACCACTACAAGATGTTAATAGTCAAAACACAAATACTCAAGTTGGTCCTTGAAACCGTGTTTGTTCAAGTAAGTGACCACAACCGGGTTAGTATTTAGCAGCACACGTAGAAACGTGGCCCCTGCCCTCTAAAAAAATAAATAAAAAGCAAAAGTAAATCAGGTCTTGGCATTCTAGATTGCTCCTACATATAGCCATGCCTTGGAGATACTGCAGGTTCAGTGGCAGACCACCGCAATATAGCCAAATGAATTTTTTTGGTTTCCCAGTATATATGTTATGTTTACACTATGCCATAGTCTATTAAGTGTGCAATAGCATTATGTCTAAAAAAACAATGAAGCTACCTTGACTAAAAAATACTTTATTGCTAAAAAATGCTAACCATTATTGGAGTTTTCAGCAAGTTATAATCACTGATCACAGATCACCATAACAAATATAATAATGAAAATGTTTGAAATATTGCCAAGAATTACCAAACTATAACACAGAAATATGAAATGAGCAAATGCTGTTGGAAAAATGGCACCAACAGACTTGTTCAGTGCAGGGTTGCCACAAACCCTCAATTTTGTAAAATAAATAAGTAAACAAACAAATGCAGTAACTGTGAAGCACAATAAAACAAGTTTCAACTGATAACCACTGTTCTGCCTAAGATGGTAGATTTGTCTTAACTTAGTCCCAAAGTATACCACCAGGTTCACTGGCTATTTCTTATTGATAAAGCATCCAACCAAGTACATCTTGCTTATGTTTTTGGCAGGATGGGCTATACGAACTGCTCTGTCCTGTTTCCTTATATAACATAAAGGAGCTCAAGGCTGAGAAACAGATACGAGGTCCTAGGTCCGTGACTGGGAAGAGGCTGTGCGGCAGGCACGTGCTCACTGGCTTGCCCCCACCACTGCTCTCAGATACAGCAACAGTATCACTCAGTCCTGCAGAGACAAAGGCACCCTGAAATTCAGCCACAAGTCTGTGGTAAGAACTGTACAGGCCTGAATCAGCACATCTAGTGCCTCTTCTCTCCAGCTCATCACATGGGGATAGTAATTCTGATTCAGACTGAACACCAAATAAGACTTAAGAGACTCTCCTTAAAGAACCACCTATCCTGTGATTCTCTGATTTCATATTCTGTTCATTGTCTCAGGGAATGTCATACAATTATCCACCTGGAAAAAAGGCTGAGCCAGACCTCTCATCATTGTTTATGAAGAGGTCTAAATATACCCTGATCCAGCCAGTGTTCCCTAGACTTCTGATAGACATATCTGCAGTAAAACCAGAACCATTCTCAAGCTTCCAGGTCAAACTCCCGTCCCCCTACCACCCTCTCCCAAAAGACGACCTATTAACCAACTACTAATCAGTCATATGTGGAATTAGCTAAAACGACAAACCAAATCACCTAAAATTAAACTGAGTATCTGAGATAACTGTTATCTGAGATTTGTTTCAGAACAATCCAATGGCAGGAGTGAGGAGTACGTGGGGTACTACTGAAATAATATTGGCCATGTGTTGATAATTGTTAAAACAAGGTAATGGGCACATGGGGGTTCACTGTATGATTCTCTCTACTTTTGTGTACATCTGAAATTTTCCATAACAAAAGATTTTTTAGAAGTTAAACTAAAAAAACCTTAGAGGAGTACATGTTTCTAGGAGATGAGTTGGGTGCTCATTTTCATTCCCTTGCAGGAAAAACTCATCAGACAATAAAATTCTTTCTCTTAGTGGTCACATTAACTAGTACAACATAAAAAGAGGTTTGAAAGAAATCCATTACTCACGTGCAGTATCACCCCTTTGTCTAGCAAACTCTGCTTTTTGGCTGTCATAACAAAATAGTGTGTGTCGTCTTTGTAGTAGACAATATTCTCCAAGTCAATACCTACAACCGGAAAACAAATCTGTCACACGGGGGCTTGCTGAAAATGAAGGTACGTTAGGGCAGCCAGAAAGTTTACATGGATCCTCAGAGACCAGGGTTGTAACACTCTGGACAGAGAAAGTGAAAATAAAGAGATGTCTGAGCCCGATTCTTACTTCCTGCATATTCAGTTCATAAGAAGAGGGGGAGCTATGTTTATACCTGCACTGCTCTATAATTCACTTCATACCCTAAGTTATCCTAAAAACCATGATCAATAGTAAGCAGAAATAGAAGGTCTGGAAGAGAAAGAAAGGTTAACTTCTAGTAAGAGGTCAGGGTTAGTTCTCAAGTTAAATGTCTTTGATAGTCATCAAGGCAACTGGGAGAATCACCTCTGCTCTTAACAGGACAGATAACTAGATGCCTAGAAGCAGAACGTGAACTACTGACTTTTTAATTCAATAATCTAAAAAACAGATGTAATAGAAAGCAATCATGTTCTAGAAAACAGAGAAATGAAATCTGATGCACATTTTTGTGGCAGCAAAATAAGTTAATTTATTCAAAAGCTATCATACAACAATCTCATTCCTACCTAGCACATTGTTTACTTCATGTCCAAACTGGAACCCCGGAAGACTGTATACTCAGTATCTAAAGTTAGGTTCTAGAGAACCAGAGAACTACCAATCAGTAGCTTACTGCATTGAGCACCATCACTTAGAGCCATAGCATAGGGGAAAGGGTTGGAGAAGAGTTGCTAAAAGGCAGAATGAACCCTTAAAAACAAACAAACAAACAAATAAAAACCAAGCCCAGAACAGCCCTATCACTGTAAAGACGGTAAAGAATAATAGAGGAGGAGACAGTAATAAGGAAAGCACTATAGAAAGAAAAAGAGCAGGGGGGCAAACAACAGCAATAATGCCAATGATCACCCACCCTACCAAACCTCTGAGAGAAAAATCACAAGTAGTTATTTAAATTTCTATCCTTATTGCTTTGGAGGCATCTACACCAACCTGTGGCTTCCCTCAGTTCCTGGAAAAATTTTTGGTTGAATATAAAAGCCACACCACTGATCTCTTCCACTTTGGCTTCTGCTGTTGTATTTCGGTTAATAAAATTTGCTGTAATGGCAATGGCCAGCTTGCCACGAAATTCTTTCCGGCGAAATCCTGGAAGGAAAGAAAATTTTCAGAGGTGACCACAGCTCGCTAGAGAAGAAGGAAGATCACTTCAAACAGGAAGGGCTGTTGATGAAGACATTAGGGAACATGCGGGATGGGAATCAATGGGAAAATTTTAGGGCAATTCTTATCTGAAAATAAGGTGTTTACCTGCCCCAAAATATATGAATTTCAGGAAAGAAGTCAAAGTCTCCCACATATTAACAATCTGAAATCTAACTGACCAGAATACTACTCAGTGCAAGGGAGTTCATTGAAAGAAAAAGAAAGAAAGGGAAGAAAGGGAAGAAAGAAAGAAAGAAAGAAAGGAAGGAAGAATGAAAGAAAAGAAAAAGAAAGAAAGAAAGAAAGAAAGAAAAGAAAGAAAAAGAAAGAGAGAGAGGAAAGGAAGCCACCAGCTTACTAAACTTAGATATAATCCTGCAGTGTCAACCAATTAATTACCTCCTAGTGCCTTAACAAGAGTGCCCTATAAGAAGTAACCCAAGTACCAGTTGGCTAGTGGAAGGCTGGGCCTGTCATTCAGTTAGAATAGATAGCACGCATATGCAGATTCTTTTTGCATATGCAGATTCTTAGGAATGTGGATTCTGATGATACAAACTCTCACCCCAGGGTTGGGGGAGGGTTACCTTTCACTCTGCTATGAACCAGGCAAAGCAGCATTGACCAATACCTTCCAAGGTGTTCCTACGGCCATCCCCTCCGATGATCACTTCAAATTCATATTCTGACACAGGATGGGTTTTGGGGTGGACCAGTGCCCGCCAACCTATACCTGTGGACCAAAGTCAAAACGAAGGTCATTACCCAGACTATATTCATACACCTAAGACACCTCTAGATACAAACTGCACAAAACCCTAGGTTTTGAAAACTGAAAACACTAGGAGTAAAAGCATGGGGTACAAAACACAGGAAAAAAAGAAGCCTTGGAGAAGGCTCACAAAAGAATGTTCCCCACGACATGATTTGCTATAATGAATACAAGTGTTTACAACATCTAATACTATGTCAAAAGCCTCCTCATTAAGTCAAAAGTTCCTTGAAAGGTATAGGCTATACTACTGAAGAAACCTCTTTAACTAGTTCTAAAAACAACCCACAGATTCTTGTACGTTTCTCCCTTGATCTCATCTTTTCTCACACACTCCATGCCCTTTTATCCCTTTCATTTGTCCAATCCAACTCACGTTCATTTTCTTGGTCCTCAGGAGGCTGTACAAGACCTTGGAATTCCACATTGACATGGATCTCAATGCCTAGGATCAGGGCTACTTTCAAAAGTATTAGTTGAAGCTGACGGATACCTGGGGGAACAAAAAGATGATACTAGTGAGGGCACACTTGAAAAGAGAGTACTAGTCGCAATTACTGCTCAGGTTCTCACCTGCCCACCTACACAGTTTATCCAGATTCTCAAAGCCTCCTGTAGCTGGAGACATTTTCCAAGCCATGCTCTACAGCTTCTTTCTTTCTTTTTTAAGGGCAAATACAATTCAGTGCAAGAGATGTTCTAGAAAGACATGTAAGGCCACTCCCACCTCTTGGGTTGGGTGTTCAAAACAACCAAAAGCTCTGAGACAACACAGATTGTGGCCACCAGGAGACTCTCTTTTCCATCTTCCTCTGATTCAGACAGAGTCACGGTCATCTAGCGGAATCTACAATCCCGACAGGACATGGGACTTACCAGAGAAGGTAAAACGTGTGCACCCTCAGGTGGGTTTTCCAGTTTGATACAAAGGGGCTGCACTACTTCCTGAGATTCCCACAGCATCTCCCTTTCATCCTATTACCTCCCTGATCTTCACACACTCTTACAAAGTGAGAAGGGGAAACCTTAATCCAACCTTAGTCTCTTACCATTCTCCCTCCCACCACTGATCTACAGGTGCAGAAACTGAGGCTCAAAATGAGTGAAAATCTTGATCATTATCACAGTGAGATTTATTTATTTATTCTATGTCCAATGAATGACCACCAAGTGTCAGACATGGTAGCAGCCCCAGGCCTACTGAGATAAAAATCTAGTCCCTAATGTAGGACCCTCTCAGTTCCAAGACAAATCCCACATAAGGCAGACAAATCCAGACAAATCAAATGACCCTTGGTCCTCTCTTAAGACCAATCTCACCTGCAGCCTCTGACTAATCTGGTACGTGCAAATCCTCATCTAAGTCATCTCAGTTCTTTCCCCCAGCTTATCAAAACCACCACCCTTCTGAGTTACACTCCTAAAGCCTCATTAAATCCCATTCTAGCACACATTTAATATTTGCAGACAACTGGATTCCAAGATGCTTTATATATTATAGCCCAACAGATGGGCAGAGTGCTTCCTCTACCAATGGAATGTGGCAGGTGTTGGCCAGGTTTGATAAATTGGCACAACCACTTCGAAGAGCAAACAGTTCAGCAGTTTGATGTATTTGCAGGACATATCCGGAGGAGCTCAGAACAAAAGTTCCTTGATAAGACTCTCCTGGAATCATTAACGATGATCAATAAACAAGACTTGAACTTCATAATGTAGACATTGTCTGTTCTGAATCACTTTTCAGATAGGCCACTTAACAGTCATGGAAAGAAAATCACTGTCTGCGTTGACTTGTGTTTACTCTATAGGATCTCAGAAAAGCATAGGCCCAAGCTGAGCTTGGAGATGACAAAAATACAGCCAAGAGTTATCCAGGCTGTCGACCTCATGAGAATCACCTAACCAAATGAATCTCACTACTGACTTGCCATTGGTGACCAAACTAGGAGGCTACTTCTAAAACTGTGGTTTCCCCAGTACTGTCCCCATAGCATTTTGTTCTTACATTAGTAGAGTATCTATCATATCACATTAGAGAGAGACTCATGCTTTGTGCTTCTTCCATTGGACTAAGAACCACCAGAGGGTCAAGGCTCAAATTGGTAGTGTTTTCTAGCCTGGCCCCAATGCCCATCCCACCCACTGCAAGTGCTCAGGAAGAGTTCAAGACCTAAATTTAGAAATCCGTAAGTTAAACTCATGTCATAGGAGTTAACTTGCAATTAAGAATCCTAGGTTATAGACAACCTCATCACAGGTATTTTGACTCCAAGCACATTAGACATTAATGATATGAGAACAAATTGGGCTGTTGAGTAATTCCCTCAAATAATCTGCCTCTTTCTACTGAACAAGTGGGTAGAGGGTGGGGTGGGATCCTGCAGGAGGATTGTTTTTACTTACTGATATGGTCAATAGCTCCAGCACAGAACTTGCCATAGAACTTCTTGGCACCCAGACCTCGCAGATCATGTATGGTGAATGGCCAGAGATGCAAGACATTGTTGCGGGAGAAGGCATCTCGTTTCTCAATAACGACCACCTTAGCTCCCAATAAGGATAAGTCAATGGCTGTACGGAGACCACAGGGGCCAGCTCCAATGATGAGACACTGAAAAACATAGCTACTTTCAGGGCAAAGGTAGCACCTCTCAGGAAAGCTCACATTTCTATAACAGTTTCATGATCTCATAACCGTCATTCCCTAAAGCCCCCAAGTAAGGCTATTCTCCTAAGAAATCTTCAGACCCATCTGGGTCACAGGAGAGCATCTGCAATGGCTTGAGAGAAAAGCTGGTGATTGTTATGGATAGAGGAGACTCTTAACTGTTAGTGCTGCACAAAAATAAACTGTTATTCCAGCACATGTTCACCTTGTAGATCTGCAATATATTGAAGTGGTCATCATTTCAACAAACGATTTGAAAATCACATGTCATCTTTTATTAACAGGAGAGGACCTTTTGAAAGGTTTCTAAGTCAAGCAGATTTCTGTCCAAGGAGACAGATTATTAAACACATAGTTCAGACAATATTAAGAGTCCTGAAATGAATCTACCACTCAAGGATTCCAAGAAGGCAACTTTTAAGAGCCAAAGTTTTATGTGCCAAAAAGAGTTCTAAAATCACCATCTTTGGACTGAAAGTCCAGGGAAATGATCTTAAAGACCCACATTCTAGAGAAGTACTCAAGGTGAGAATGGACACTTAACTAATTTGTATTATTCTTAATAAAACACCACAACTCACTCATAAAAGTCATGCCTCTGAATTTCTTGAATTTTGCTGATGAGTATCTATCCGGAGGCAAATCCACTGGGGGAGGGTCTCTAGGTCTCCACACAGAGCAAATTAAAGCTCATGAAAGGACATTAATAATCTAGTCATGAAGTCATTTGCAGCTTCATTTCCCTGCTAGCTTTTTCAAACTTCTCCCAGAAGGTGTTCGCACATAAGGAGGAAAGCAGGAAATATATTGTTCCTTCTCCACCTCCCTGTACCTACCCCTGCACAGGTGACTGAATATCTCACCTGTTTCATGAAAACTCTATTTCCCTAGATTGTGAAGAGAGCAAAAGAAATATTTTGGTTTACAAGGCCCTTGCTTATCAAAACAAACCTTCGGAATATGGATGAAAAGAGGTCTGAAGTGGCAGATCCCCAAGTTAGCAAATACTATCTAGACCTTATTAGTCATTGAGTATGGAATGATGACTTTATAAAGATGACATGCCAGGCATCATGAAGCCATGTTCAGACAGGATGCTAACAGGGCATGGCTTCTTCTTTGCTAAGCGACCTGCATCCTCTTAACAGTGTGAAATTCAAAACAGAGCCCTCAGGGGGAAAAAAAAAGTTCCTATACCATTTGACTTCAGGGTTGTACTTAAATAGCTGAAATCCTGTTCAATATGTGAATACATGAAATAAGAACAGGGTCTGGAACATGGAACAGTCAACTGAACACTGGTAATGGATCCACAGAGTTTGACTTTCTGTACTAAGTCTCTGCTAGACTCTGCCTAGTTCTCACCCAGTCTACCTCTACTCAATCCCTTTCTTTGGCCTATCTCTGCTCACAATCTTTTCTTTTGTGGTTAAATCTTTAGGTTAGTGACCCCAAGGCCTAGGAGAAGCCAAACCCTTACCTTGGTGTTAGTGCATGCTTTTCCCTTTTTGTAGTCTTTGTGGCTGCCCCGCTTGTCCAACTTTGCCCACAGCGCTTTGGCTTTCCAGTAGTTAAGCTTGGACTTGAGCTTGTGATAAAAGGAGCGGTAGTCCTTAGGCTTCAGTTCTAGGTGGTCACAGAGCTCTTGGAAGGCCTTGAGGGTCCCCTTGCAGGTGGTGGCCTGCACAAACCGGTCAAAGAGGACATGAGCGCGATTCATTGTCTCATTCTTACTGTCCTCCATGCTTCCCCACTCTCAGCAGCCCCCAACAAAGGGGGCAGTGGGATGGCTGTTGATCCACCTGATTCTGTCACATTAATCTAACAAAAATAAAGAAAGAAAAAGGAATGGTTAGCAAATCTAAATTTCTACCTACAAACATTTTCTAGGAGACATAACTCCTTTTCTTTTTTTTTTTTTTTAAAGATTTTATTTATTTATTTGAGAGAGAGAGAATGAGAGACAGAGAGCATGAGAGGGAGGAGGGTCAGAGGGAGAAGCAGACTCCCCGCCGAGCAGGGAGCCCAATGAGGGACTCGATCCCGGGACTCCAGGATCATGACATGAGCCGAAGGCAGTCGCTTAACCAACTGAGCCACCCAGGCGCCCGACATAACTCCTTTTCAAATGGAGTTCTGAAGTGTCATAGCCATTCATTCAACAAATGTATATCCTATATCTTCTGTACTCCAGGCACTATCTGTGACACTGGGGATGGAAAGATGAGCAAGACAGTGTTTGCTTTCAAGGATCTTACAGTTCAGTGGGACAGACTCATAAACAGAATGTTAAATGTACTTTGCTGAGTGTCATTAGAGGGAGAGGGGCACAAGGGACTTGGGAACGTTGACAATGAGTACCTAATCATAATGGGTCCTTGTTGAAGATAAACCTCTGAAACGTGACGCTGAGTCTTTCAGGATAAGTCAGTGTTAGCCAGGCAGGGAAGAAGTGTAGAAGGTAGGAAAAGAAATAAAATAGGAAGGCTTGTGAGTGAGTGACTTTTACAGATGAAAGACTCAAGAATGATGCCCAGGTTTCCAGCTTAGGCCACTGAGTAAATAATGACACCAGGCCAATGAATTAAAAATAGAGGAACTCATTTGTAAGGGGAGGGTAGTGAGTTCCCTTTTGGCTTGTTACGTCTGAGCTGCCTTAACAGAGGTGCTCGCTAGGCAGTCAGGTATGTATTTGAAGCTTAGGGGAGTAGCCGGGGACCCAGGCCCAGATTTGGGAGTCATTAGCATACAGGTGGTAGCTGAACCTTCAGAAGTGGTACAATCACACAAGGAGAGCGCATGGGAAGAGAGAGCCATGGGCCCTGGATGAGATCTGGGACTCATCAACTTGTAAGGAACTGGCAGAGAAAGAAGAGCTCTCTAAAAAGATTGTGAGGCACAGTGGAGAGAGGTCTGAAGAGAACCAAAGGGCAGTGTCACAGCAGTCTAAGAGTAAGAAGCACAAAGTTCAGAAGTGGCAAAGTCAGTAGGGTTTTAAAGGACTGAAACAGTCCTGCCCCTGCATGTGGTACATGTCAGGGTGGGAAGATTTTATAGCCATTTCATTTTGCCCACAAACATATTTGACAGTAATCATAATGTCTACACCTTCCACTTATTAAAAACATCTATACATCCACCACCCTATGCTTCCTGGATAGAAGCTTTAAGATGGGAGAAGGCACCTTACATGCTCCTTTAATGCACTCACTCCCTTGGGTCTGTTTCATCATTTTTGTACCACGTTTCATGTATCATCACTACCTAGAACTATTATTGGGAGGTAGGAGACAAAGGGCCAAGAGTGAAAACTAAGACATAGTAAGAACAGAGAAGCAGGTCAGAGCAAGGGGATGAGCACTAACATGGCTCTGAGCCCCCTGTGCCAGATACTGGTTGCATGACCCTGGACAAGTCACTTTGCCTCACCAGGCCTTCATTTTCCCTTGTGTAAGATGAGGCGGTTACACTGGATGGTCTCTAAACTCCTCTTCCAATTCCGAAGTTCTCCGAGTTTAGTGCTGAGAAAATCCTCATGGTCACACTACTGTGTGTGACAAACAGGACTGCACTGAAACTTTGCTTTAAAGAGGACTCACTCTTGGAGATGGGGGAGACAGAGGAAGGGGGCTGTTGATTCACTGTGGTCAGGAGGGGTACAGAAGAAAGAAGTGACTCACTAGTGAAGCAATCCAAGAGTACTGGGAGCCACCAAACTGTATGTGCTGATGAAATCAATTGTCAGAAGAAGGCACCACTGGGTAAGCATCTGCAACAGAATCCCTCTTTGTGAAGTAGAAGTAACACCCTGCATCTCTCTACACCTCACCATGATATTATAAGGGCTAAACCAAATCAACAGGAGACCTATCTTAAGCTTTGCGGGAGAAAATAATAGCTATACACAAAGAACTGACATTTTCCCTTTATGTCAGCAGACGTGGCACTCTTCATATACTGTGGAAGCTGAGTCGAAGATGGTAACTCTTCACCTGGAACACACTGACTCAGCTTCTCATCTCAGATATGTACTTACTCAACAATCTCTCCTGGCTCTGGATATAAAAACTACACTGCTAAAAAACACAGCTTGTCTAGTAGACACGTGGCCAAGAGTCCATCAAGAAATTGAATTAACTGGAACTAACCTCCAGTTCCCCCTCAATAAAGTTTATTCTAGGAAACAATACGCAGCAAGAGAAATATTTTAAAGTTCCTAAAAAGAGCCCACTCTTTTTCTTATACGCCAAGGCTTATCTTAGAAATGGTACATAATGAAAAGATGTCTTATAGGGGCAGAAAAAACAGATGTGTTTATCCAAAGACAGAAGGGTGACAGGTAACAACCAATAACTAGAAAAAAGGTCCCAGAGTGATTGACTCTTGCCTTCCTTGTGTAGGTTTCTGTGGCTTTATGTGCTTTTTTGGCAAACAGACAGCATTTTGCAATCCTGACCCTGCATGCCCGACCTGTGTTCATTGTCGACTTTGACTCCACCAGAGTCATAATGTTTGGAAAGCTTTGAAAACACCTGGTCTGATCTCTCTGCCTCTTGCCAAAGAAGAAAATGATCTCTCTTTGTTCCTGAACTGCAGTCACCTTCCACTCCTTGCCAGGATTTGGAGCACTCAGTACCAGGATGTTCTTGCTGAAACCAACACATTAAAAATCCTGAAACTTTAGGGCACCTGGGTGGCTCAGTTGGTTAAGCATCTGACTCTTGGTTTCGGCTCGGGTCGTGATCCCAGGGTCCTGAGATCAAGCCCCGAGCCAGGCTCCGCGCCGAGTGTGGAGTCCGCTTGAGATTGTCTCCCTCTCCTGCTGCCCCTCCCCCAGCTTGCATGCATGCGCGTGCTCTCTCTCCCTCTCACTCAAATAAATAAAATCTTAAAAAAAAGATCCTGCAACATTATTTCTAAAAAGCCTTTCTCCTGTCATAAGGCCTATCTTATGCTTACACCTCCCTAAAGTGTCTTGGGCACTTATTTTCAAAGAAAAATTCTGCTTTGTACGCTAACACCCCCTTGGCTGGCTGTAGCCCACTCTGCTTGAAATATTCACTTCCACAGAGCTACTAACCACCACAGAGAATTTCCAAATCAACCCCCACCACAGATGAACACCTTCATTAATAACTGGCCGCCAATCCTTCTGCTGACTTTCAGGTTTCAGCCACAGCTCCCAGACAGTTGCAGAGAGTCTGCTTCCAAGCAGTAGTCAAGTATTAAATGCCCACTCTAAGGGATTTCAACCTGTAGGTCACTAATGACAACAGATAAATAGAGGTAAGTTGGCTCCTGTAACAATGTGACAAGCACCCAAGGTAAGAGTACACAAGATTAATTCCCCTGGGCTGCCTCACTTTTCCTACTTTGCAAGCCAAATGACCACAGCAGGAAGACACTCTCAAGTGCTACAGCATTACTCTGTAACTCTGCTGGACTGGGACTGTGTCATTTAGCAAGGGGAATCTGGCATTCTGATTCATTCTGAGAGCAGCTGGGGAGAACTGCAGAAGGGCCATTCCTGTTATTGCCCTCATTTCTTTCATTCCTGAAGGTCAACTCAGATCCTGCTCCTCCTGGCCTCTCCTGGACCGTCCCTGTGTGCCAAACATGCTAGTATCCTGGGAAAATTCCGTATTCATAATTACAGGAACCTAGAGACCAGGAAACCTGGCCGGAAGGTGCCAGAAATCCTGGGGACTGAAAAGCCAAGGTGTGGAAGGAAGGGAAAAGGGAAGTAAGGAGCCCGAGGAGGGAAGAGGAAGAGGAGATGATGCCAGGTTTCCAGGGCACTGGTGCAATTTCTGCCAATGGACAATATCCTGCATGTTTTGTCCCGTGGCAGCTGACTGCTGACTCAGAAGCCTTGCACATTCCTTGGCTGTGGAGGAAAATGCTGGAGAGGCAGCCTGTGAAGTACATGCAGGACAGAATTTATGTTTCTATTTACAAGAGTAAAAGGCTGTCACTGGACTTATGGCTGGTTATGAGAACACTCAATCTCTACCTCTTAGAATAGGTGGATGATTATTTGTAGGAGGTGAGAACTATCTTTAAAAATAGAAAAGGGAGGGGCACCCTGGGTGGCTCAGTCGGTTAAGCATCTGCCTTTGGCTCAGGTCATGATCCCAGGCTCCCGGATCGGGTCCCGCTTCAGACTCCTTGCTTCTCCCTCTCCTTCTGTCCGTCCGCTCCCCCCTCATTCTCTCTCTCTCTCAAATAAATAAATAAAACCTTTAAAAAAATGAAAAGGGAGGAGCGCCTGGGTGGCTCAGTCGGTTAAGCCGCTGCCTTCACCTCAGGTCATGATCCCGGGGTCCTGGGATCGAGCCCCGCATCGGGCTCCCTGTTCAGCGGGAAGCCTGCTTCTCCCTCTCCCTCTGCCTGCCTCTCTGCCTACTTGTTCTCTCTCTCTCTGTCAAATAAATGAATAAAATCTTTAAAAAAATAAAAAATAAAAAATAAAAAAAAATGAAAAGGGAAAGAGAAATAAAGCAAGAAACTAGGAATTATACTTCAAGAGTATGAAACCAGGGGCACCTAGGTGGCTCAGGTGGTTAAGTGTCTGATTCTTGGTTTTGGCTCAGGTCATGATCTCAGGGTCGTGGGATTGAACCCTGTGTCAGGCTCCATGCCCAGTGTGGAGACTGTTCAAGATTCTCCCTCTCCTTCTCTAAAAAAAAATAGAGTATGAAACCAGAGTCAAGTCTAGTTAATTTTCTCCTAGCCACTGCAGATGTGTAAATCTCTGAATCTTATTAAGGAATCTATGAAATGCTTCTTTCCCTAGCCCATTCAGTCAGAGGTGTGACTTG